CGGAGTGGCCGATGCAGTTATGGCTGTTCTGCTCACAGTCGAAAGCAGCCCGGCCTCCGTAAAACGTATGAATTCCTTAAATTTCCCACCTCTTTACTTATGCTAACTAGCACGGTTTTAGAATCGGCCAAAAACAAGCACCACCATCACCACCATGACGATGAGGATATGGAGATCCCCTCACTTCCAAACCCTCATGCTCAATCTGGACCCCAAGAGCGGCTTGCTCGTATGCTGATGATGCTCGAGGCCCAGTTCGGCGCGGACAACATTGGCCCCATTGAGCGCCCTCGAGTCCCGGCTGATCTGGCACTCGGCCCACAAGAAGATGGCGAAGAGATGAACGAAGAACGGATTGCCGACATTGAGGCTGCGGAGCTGGATCGTCTTATCACAATGGGTGTTCCTGTCCCTGGCATTGAGATCAGGGTGGACAAGCATATTGCCCGTGTATGGCTTGAGGATCTGGAAGTCGAGTGTGCGAACGCTGTCCTGCGAGACCGCATTCGTGTTGTAGTTGAGCGGGCCATTGAGACTGTCGCTGGCCTGTGGGCAGAAAGCTCGATTCAGCAGGATGCGACGCTTAATGGCTCTGCCAACGGGCAAAAGGGAATTGAACTGGCTGATAGGAAGAAAGCGGCTGCCGTTGAGGCTCATGCTTGATCTCATGTACTTGTATAATAATGAAATATCCCATCATCCACATGATTTAACTTGACCCTTTTTTTTGCATCTGCTTTTTGTCATCTAATGTTTCTCCTGCTAGTTATTTTTAAGCAAAATGAAATTGATTAAATCATTGCACATTGCAAGGCTATGAGAGTGGAGCTTGGGAGTAGATAGTTATAGAGTGCCTCTATAGTAAGGCAAAAACCTCCTTCATAATTTTCTCCAGGGTGTCAACAATAATATCGATCTCCTCTTTTGACACGATGTAAGGTGGTGCGAGCACAAGATGATCCCCTTTAATTCCATCCACGGTACCAGAGCAGCCATATAGCGAGACACTGTGCTCCGGCTGTAGACCTTTCTCCTGGATCTTATATGACAGACCATGTTTGGGTTCAAACGGTTCTTTCGTGGCCTTATCTTTGACAAATTCAAGCTGTAAAGAGTTAGCTACACGTTGTGTCCTCTGGTCGTGCAGTATCGACTATAGGGATATGAAACTTACACCCCAGAACAATCCCTTTCCACGAATATCTCCCACGTGAGGATGACTCTCGAATCGTTGCTTCAACCGTGTCTCAAGGTAAACACCCATGGTCCGAACATTATCCACAAGTGACTGTTCCTGAATAGTCTTTTGCACAGCAAACGCAGCAGCACATGAGATCGGATGGCCTTGGTATGTCTGTCCGTGGCGGAACTGCCCGGTACCTTTGTCCATCGTCTGCACAATAGAGTCACTAATCAAGACGGCCGACACCGGCGCGTAGCCACCACCCAGACCCTTTGCGATAGTCTGGATATCAGGAACAATATCCTCTTGCTCCCAGGCATGCAAGGTACCGCAACGGCCCATGCCGCTCATAATCTCGTCAAGGATCAAGAGAGCGCCGTGCTTCTCGCAAACGGCTTTCATTGCACGGAAGTACCCTGGTACTGCGGGGACACAGCCGAGAGCCTAATGAGTATAAGTCGGATGATCTGGTAGTGTGTAGTTCAGATAGGAAGTCATACCGCGCCGACAACCGGCTCCGCGACGAATGCGCACACAGTTTCGGGTCCGACACGTTGGAATTCAGCATCTAGCTCGGCTGCCAGACGTGCCACATAGTCTGCATCAGACTCGCCGTCCCTTTTCCCACGGTATGCGTAGCATGGAGAAACATGGGATACGTTCTTGGAGAGAAGTGGCTCAAATGGCTGCCGACGCTGAACATGGCCACCAACTGAAAGGGCGCCTAGCGTGGTACCGTGGTAGGATGGGAGACGTGCAATGAACCTGGTGCGCTCAGTTTGGGGGGTCGGGAGCTCTAAGAAATATTGGCGTGCTAGTTTAATTGCAGCTTCGACAGCCTCCGACCCTGTATATCGTCAGCACTGTGCGTGTGAACTGGATTTTTGGTTCATGGAAGGGTTGCCTTCACTCACCTGAGCTGGTTATAAAAACCTTGGATAGCTTTCCTCCAGTAGAGTCCACTAGGAGTTTGGCAAGATCTTCAGCTACCTGAGTGCCGAAGAAGGCAGAATGACAGTAGGATATCTGGTCCATCTGATCCTTGATGATCTGGGTGACCTGCTCGTTACCGTGTCCTAGACAAGATACAGCTGCGCCACCTGTGGCATCGAGGAATTTGGTCCCATCTTCCAGAAACACGTAGCACCCTTTGCCGCCAATGGCTTTCTTTGGGACAAAGCGTGTGTCCCGGTGGAGGACAGCACTCGTCTTGGTTTCTGAGAGGTATATCAGAATGAGGATTATGCCAAGATATTGCACGCATTTGACATACCGTTGGCCATGATTGAATTTAGAGGAATGGAATTTGGGAAAAAGAGTGCTTGAGGAGACAAAGAGCCTTATATAGCCGTGGATATCTCCGTTGATGTTTGACCCGAGGCAATGGCCCTGTTCTGCGGGGCTAAGTGGGTTCGGCATGCCGAAGGGAAGATGCCGAGCTCTTAATTGGTCCGGGGCGGAAGGGGCGGACTTTTGGCCGATTTGGTTTTCTATCGGGTCTATTTGTTGGAAGAGAAAGCTGTAGGTGGGCTTTTGGCAATACCTTATGGCTTGGGGACATACTTGGGAAAGATATGATTACATTTGTGGCATAGGCGGTTATAGTTTCCAAGGTTCGTTTAAGTGCCTACATATGGCATTATATCGGTAGCATGGGGTTGCTATTTTCGTAGTAAAAGATTGACACAAATGAGATTTACTAGTAAATTCAAGACTATTATCCCTAAATTATAGACATAACATACGTTACTACTAATATTGGCGTGCACTTAAACGTTGAACAATCCCCACGTCCCACCGCCCGCACATTGCATTCTGCCCCTCTGACTTGGCCACAATTCCCGCCTTCCCCAGACATCTCCCCATTCTACAAATTCACCATGTCGCGTCACGCCCAAATCGAGGAAGTCTCCGACTCCGACCCAGAAGAGATTGCCCCTTCTTACGACTCCGACGATGACCTCCCCCGCAATGCCATCATCTCACCCGTAAATATCCCGACCAAGGCTGCACCTCAACCCCAACAACAGATGCCCATGCCATCGATGCCATCGATGGCAGCACCTGAGCCTCAGCGCGAGATTCCCCGACACTTCTCATGCTTGTACCCCGTGTACTTCGACAAGTCCCGATCGCGTGCCGAGGGCCGCAAAGTTGGTGCGGAGCTCGCAGTGGAAAACCCTCTTGCGCGAGATATTGTCGATGCCGTCCAGATGCTTGGCTTGAATGCCGGATTGGAGCCAGAGAAGCTGCATCCTAAGGATTGGGCGAATCCCGGCCGCGTGCGTGTGCAGGTTAAGAACGAGGATGGCCAATTAGCCAACCCGAAGATCAAGAACAGTACGTGGCTGATACCCTTGATTGAGTGAATGGTTCTTTCTGTGACTTGAACTGACATTTTTGTTTAGAGCACCATCTCTATATTCTCGTCGCACAGTACTTGAAGGCTAACCCTACTACCGAAAAATCACCCTACCGGCTACGAATCCGTGGCTTGCCCATGCCCGAGAAGCTTCCAGCAGCTCCTGCTGCCCCTCGGGGTTGGAAGATCGGGAAGATCCTACCTATCCATTCGCCTGCCTATAGTGGTGGTGGTGTCAGTGACAACCCTCTCAAGGACGCAATGGCCGAGATGCAGGGTATGCAGGGTATGGAGGGTATGCCCAACATGTCTGAAATGATGAGTCAAATGGGCGGAATGGGCGGACTGAGCAATATGTTGGGCGGACTAGGTGGACTTGGTGGAATGGGCGGAATGGGTGGAATGGGTGGTGAGCCCTCAGGGGCAGGTGCGGAAAAGAAAAAGAAGGAAAAGAAGAGGGTGATCAGGGCATGATTTTGGCATGACCTTTATTCCGTGTTCCACTTGCATTTTACGGCGATGGGCGTTGCTTTTTCTAATTTTTGATGCACTCGAGAAAGGAATACTTCCTGGATACCACGGATCTGCATCCGAATTGATCTCATTGTACATCCACCTCAAATTCTGTCCAATATCTACCTGATAGTCTATGACCGAGTCATATATGAATCCTACATCTTTTTGCACACCAGTACGGACCTATACACTGTTACGAGACCAATTTCAGTATGTAAAATTAGCGAAAGCCTGGATGCATGCTATGCAAATAGCCCTTCAATTAGGGCCGACTTGGCTTATGGAGTACCTGTGGCTCATAACCTTCGATATCATATACTAGTATATCTTGCACTATATCCGTTCGCATATATTATTCCCACCCTTATACCCATCATTCGTCGGCTTGTTGGAATATGCCCAGGTGGGTCGGCCATATACCCTCCTCTTCCAGAATGGCACTTCGCAGCCCTCTAGTGTGAGAGATATTTGGGTTGTACTTGGATAGTATTTTGTCCTGTTACATTTCTTTGGCACTGTGTCTAGTGTACTTAGGTATATGCTTAAGTGGGACCTGGGGTAGCGGCTTTTAAATAAACCAATAACAGGAGACCTCTTTATCTTTTAATATATTGATTTAAACTACCGAGTGCTCTGTATAGTATTTCGAATTAGCTAAGAATTTGTGGTGGACCCTGTGCTTGCTTTGGTAGTGCTGGGTTTATTTCGGGTTGGATATGGCAGTATCCATTCAGGAGGAAACAAAGAGAGATAGATTATGTACCCATGCAATGGGGAATTTGTATTCAAGTAGCTAAGAATGAACATGTTCGTGGGTGTCATTATAATGCTGTACCTCTGTGTCTTTCGGGCATCCTCCATTTCTATACTGCCAGAGCCGGCTGAAGTCCTTCACACGCAGTCGTCGACCCACACCATTCGTTCGCGACCGTTGCAGGTTTACTGCAACGGGAGAAATGCCTCGTCTCGGGCCATAGTAGGTTGATATCTGACTCGATGCGGAGAGCCATCATATCCGTTTATACCTGCGGTTGTCCATGGCTCGACTTCCATATCCATGAATGGATTGGAGTCGAGGACGTTCATGTCAGGGCCCAGAGTAAACATGTTGTCTAGGTAATGAAGATTGAAGAGATGGCCTGAATTCGGGCGAACAAACAGCCGGCCCATATATCGATTTGGGATCTCAACGAAGTGGAGCACTCCTCCTAGTGCCACAATATCACCTGAATTAGCGTAATGCTCGATATAACCGACGGATTGACCAAATTGATGCACTAGATCAGGTGCTGGGATCCCTTCTCGCCTTGCTAGCTTTGTCCATCGTGGGTTGTTGAAGTGGTTTGCGGCATTTCCAAAGGTATATATCTCCAAGTGATGGAGGAGATCATGGGGTAGCTCATCCAGCAGCCAGTCCAGGATGAGGCCCCCTTCAATACCGCCTTGGCTGTGAAGAAGCAGAACCACCTTGTCACATTCTGGGTCCAAAAGGGCTTCCTTGATCAAGACATAGGATCGCCTGATATCGCCAGTAGCATAAGCGAAATCCCGTTGAATCAGACATTCGATGAGATCAAAGACGATGCCCGCGCTAATCCTAATCAGTGTTTGTAAACCAGAGATCTAAGGCGTCACTTACGTGCGGTTATGCACGCCCGTCACTTTCCGACCAAAGGTGTATGACAGTTGATCGATGTTCATCTGTACCCAGTGATGTCTAGAGGTAGTTGGAGTCAGCAACTGAAAACAGGGAACCAAGGATCTCTCCTACCCAGCTGCAATCCCATTTATATACAGCCAACGCTCCCGCTGATGGCCTGGTTGCTCGACCACAGGCACTTGAGATACCAGGACCTGCTGGAACCCGTTCAACATCAACATGACAATTGCATAATTGATAGTGAAAGCAATAGCCGCATAAGCAAGAATCCATAGCCCTGGAACCATACAGACAAGGATGATGGGCAACGAGAGCAGAAAAGAAAGCTGATAAACCACGAGAAATATATGGATCAACACGGTAGCTCCGTTGCGTAACGAGGGATAGAGTTCGTCCAACTCATGTGTGCGAGCCAACTGCAGGGGTAGTAAGATACCTGGTAGGGCCCATAGCTTCGAAACAAACAGGGACAAGTCGCTCCAGAGTAACTTCATGGGTGAGGCAGTGTAAGGCAACGGAGTATCCTCCTTACCCTGACAAGTCATAGTGAGATTCCAGTAGAAGAGTAATGAGATGAAAATGCAAAAGGAAAATAAAAAGAGGAAGCCTTGTCTTTTGTCATGTGATACCGCTGAGATCTATAGGGCAGGTGACTACGGCTGATTGACCTGGACTGTTTTGAAATATTCAAGTGGATGATAGGAGGATATTTCTTTTCTTTTTTATATTCAGTTATTATTGTACTATTATTGACATTGTTTCATTTCTTGTCAAAAGAAACTTATTTTCCCATCACTTCGCCGAGTTGGTAATCACCGTGATGGACGTTCTGTTAATAGTCAAAGCAGAATTAGATATAGATCGAGATAACAATAGAACGAGAAAGGAGAATACTAACGAACAAAGTGACGCTTTTTTTGATTGTTGCCACGGAACAGATATCTTCGGTTGATCTTCATACCGGCATGGCGCATTTCACTTTGATGCCATTGTGCAATGATCTTGGCCGCACCAGCAATCGACAAGTCGGTAGGTTTCCAGTATCCTGGGACACGTAGTGATAGACACCATTTGACATCGTGATGGACGGGTTCGGATGAAATGATACCGTCTCGGGCGTTGATGCGAGCCAACACAAGATCCATTAATTCTTCGTCGTTGTATTTGTGATCAGCCCAGTTGAAGAAGACAGTCACCCATTGGTTGGCTCCAGGCACATGGGGTTCCTCGCGGATGTTTCGTCCGTTTGGACAATTGAACATTCCTCGAAGATTGCGTTTCTTTGCTTTCTTTGTAACTCGACAGGAGTCAATCGCTGAGACGTGGTTTCCCATGGTAGAAATGTCTGAAGTAGAGAGCTGAGATTGGTAGGAGAGAAACTGAAGAAATGAGACAAAAGGATGAGACTATGAGACATGGCAAGTCTAATATATCGATTGAGACGAAAAGAACAAAGACCATTGATAAGTCCTTTAACAGCACAATTCATTGTGGGTGAGTAGTAGACCTATCAATAAGGGCATTTCTTTGATCACAGAGTGAACACTAATAGGACATCACAATGAGACCTTTGTTCTCTTTGAGGACTGAAAAGACATTGTTTAGTGGGCTCACAAGATGAAAGCACATCGAGAATGGTCAACTTCCTAGGGGGTATATAAATATCCTTATTAGAACGGAATTCTCCTCTCCAGCAGAATATCAAGACCAACCCCCAAATCTATGCGCCTGTCTGCATAATTCGTGAGACGAGAACAAAGACACTCTAGTGATCTCATCCAATTCCAAACAAGTATAACTTGAAACTGACCTCCAAGCCCCAGAGTACTTTCTTCTAGGACAAGTATATATCGTCTGGGGTCTATCACAGGGATACCACAACCCAATCCTCCTCTAACACAGCGATAACCAAGAACAATGGGAAAAAATGGAGGGTGGTTCGAAAACAGACGAGACACAATCGGTAGACGTAAATCCCTTTTCTCAGGAGACACTCGGTTTGTGACTGACCTGAGAAGGGACGAAGTTAAAAAGCTAACAGAGATTCTGCACATAGACAACACAAGAGCAAAACACATGGATGAGGTTGTCAAGCGCATGATCCACGAGCTGCCAAAGAATATGCGCCGTGACCGTTGGTCAAGAACTAACAAGGATTTGTGCGATACTCATCAGGGTCTGAATGCAGACCTCATGACCGATGTGTTCAATCTCGTCCAGAAGGAAGTCGGTCACCACCTTCGCAAGTTCGACGCGTACCCGGACTTGCTGAAGCCGCTCGATATATTGATCGTGCAGAAACTACAGGCTATACAGGGCATGTGGACGAAGCCTGACCCGAAAGACCCCGTCTCAGAAGCATGGCACTATGAGACCAGCTGCTGTCAGGCGTGCATGGTGGCCCGGGTTGCGAGTGACAAGAATGCACTGCGCAATCTTAGAATCGCCCTACTCTCTCGCACGCAGACTCGTTTGAACCATGCCCCACGAAGACTTATGAAATTCGTCGACAGTTGTATTGACTTATTCCCTAATCATGTTGATGAGTTGTATGGCACATCTAGCCAGTTTGCATTCATCCTGAAGGATACCCGCAAGGCCTGCAGCAAGGCCTGGTACCAAGACCCAGCACACGCGGATTCGACACCTGCACAGCGAGAGCACGCCGATCATGGCAAGAATGACAACGACAAAAATGACAAAAGGGGAAAAAGCGGAAAGAGTGCACGTAGCCATGGCCCGGCCGGTGAGTATAACCCGAGGAAGAAGTATCCCCAGCCACCACCACCAATCGCAGCATCCCACCCCGCGGAAAGGTATGTCCCCGAATCTTCTTCGTCATCTCAATGTACTGACACTGACACTGAAGGGCGCAGAATATGTCGCCCGACGTCGAGCCCTTCCAGGAAGGCTTCGACATCATCATACCACATGAAGCGAGATCGACTACCAGACCCGAACCCGGACCGCGTCACTAGACTCATGGATTTCGCCGATGATAGCTATCAAGGCTTAAGAATAGGCCCGGAAAGGCGGAGGGCGAGCACCGTCTATGGACCTCCTGGGACCCCTCCATCACCTAGCACCGCAAGCAATTTCTTGGGGACCATGGATGAAATCGACGAATTGCTCGAGATGTACAAGGGTATGGGAACAAATCCCTACTCTCGAAGCACGGAAGACTTCTCCATACAGGGGAGTAGTCGCCTTCCATCAGAGTGTCGCTCCCGTCGATCTGTTCCACTGACAGTGATTGGAGTGATGAAGATGAAGTCCCGAGAAAGCCAGAAAGTAGCTCAGCAGCGAGGACTACTTGGAATCTGGTGTGTGAACAGTCGAATATGATTTGATCTCTCCTAGTCTCTTTCATTTCCTTTGTCTTCGCATCTTGTTTGGGCGTTGTTTCTTAAGTTGCTTTTGTTGTCATTTGCTTTTTGAAGTCTTTTGCGACTGGCACTTTCTGCTGTCATTCTGTTTTCCCTTGCTATTGTATGTCAAGATCTGGTCAGAGTCGAGTGTTTGAGCATAGTCCGTAATATTTGCAGATGTACAGATACTGAATACCCAGAAGAAAATGCAAATGGCAAATAATAGACATTATTGACAGTAGGTCATAGAGCGAACCATGTACAAAGCACTGACTGGCGCATTTTGAAGTATTAATACATTTGGGCCATTGATCCCATATACAAAAAATGACGGAAAGCCCCACAGTCTGGCGGAGACGGCCAGCAGCTCCAGGGACGGCGTTGGGGATGCATAAAGAAAAATCAACACATGCTCGGGCCTTATATCATCACGGCTTTAGTTGTGGAGAACACTTCCAGGAACCCCATGACTCGGGCCTTTGAGACTATCAACAGTCTTTCGGCGCAGTCGGGTACGAGCCGCAGGCCCCTCAGGTGATACCACTACCCGCTCAGGTTCACGTTCCTCGGCCACAGTCACAGTTGGCGTGGTATCAGGCGCCTGGGCAGCATCCAGATCCACCTGCTTCTGGGCATTCTCTCGAGCTCGTTCGTAGCGCAGCTTGACTTCACCAGTCCACTGGGTACCAAGAAGGCGGTCCCAGAAGATGAAGAAAGGCTGGGAGAAGTTGGTCTTGATACCCCAGCTTTGGTGATGAATGTCGTGGTAGGCAGCATTGTTAGAGGTGAAATGCTGCAGTGGATCCCAGGGGAAGGCATAGCCACAGTGGTCGTCAACAGTTTTGATAGTCGACATTGTAAAGAACCACATGGCCTGGCGGGTGGTCATGCCGGAGACTAAGAATCCAATACCAGTGCCAGCCGTATCCAGGAGGAATCCCTCAACCGGGTGGTTGTAGAGGGCGCCGAAAGCATAAGGAACGTAAAGACGGTGGTGACGTGAGTGGAAAGTCACTAACAACTAATTAGTATGAAACCATCAATCAACTTCGAAACGACAGGCATACCATAGAGCCACCGGTTCAGATGCATAGCGCGGTGGAGGAAGTACTGCCAAGTATCCACAATGGAAATCGCCAGCAGGAACTGAAGGGTCGGTACAAAGTACCAATATATGAAACCGGCAACTGCAAGTTCCCAGTTCGTGAACGCGGGGGCTACAGCCTCGGCTCCGTTGTCGAGAATTATAGACTGGGTCACACCGGGGTATGATCCACCAGCCAGAACTCCCGCCAACATGGTATAACCGCTTTGGGACACCGATTTTCCAAGACTAATGGTGTCAACTCCAACAAGAGCTAACAATGATGGGACAGCCTTCTGGGCGATCCGCAATCGCTGCGCCCACACAGCCACATCATACTCTTCTCTCCCAACGGTTTCCTCGGCATCAAAATAGATGAATGCAAAGCCGGCCAGGGTTTGAATTACCTGTTGTAAGACAACATCCCGTACGACTTCCCAGCGAGTCACTTTGTTTCGTTTCAGGACTTCTGCGGGGGTGTGGAGCCGGTATTGGACGAAGTAATCATTGACATCGAGGAAATGATAGATCATGGACATGCCCCAATAAGCGATTACGGGCAATATAAGCGTAAGGATGCTGTCAGGAAGAGGAGCAAGCAAATGCTCTCGCGCGGTCAAGGTGTAGGTTGGTAGGGGAGGAAGGTCGAACGCGACTGATGCGTTTACAGCCATGGTGAAAGAATGGCGATACGTTGAGTTTTCAGTAGCACAAAGAATCCAAGAACGATCAAAGGGAGCTTGGATATTAAAATGACCCCAAGGTTAGGAAGCAAGTAAAAGAGAGTGGACGTCCGCAACTGCCCACCGTCCGGATGCTGACGGGTAGGCGCGACGCAGGATGATTCCGATCAGCCAGAGATCTCTCGGCACTGGCCGGTACATACAAAAGGAAGTAGGTTAAAGAAAAAACAAAGAGAATCAGATAATGATGAAGGAAAGAATAGGAATAGGAATTGCTCGGAAGATAAAAGATAAACGTTCAGATCAGGAGACGGATTCGGGTGGCGCGAGCCCGAAGACGAACCAGCCCAATACATGTATGGACGGTATATTTGGATTAAATGGCTGGGGAAAGTAACCAAATACAGTATGGTATGGTATTACGTGGACTGATGCTGACTCAGTTGTCTATACTTCGGCCTGGGCAGTCCTGAAGGAAAGTCAACTGGGTTGAAAACGACCTCGGGAACATCAATTGATCTAAATTAATTAGTTCCTCGACTTTCCTCTTGCCAATTGATGATATCTCAGTCTTTCTGATATTTATACATCCCATTTTTACCCCAAAATGATATTGTATCTACGAAGTACCCCGAAGTACCAATACTGCGCTAACACACAGCTAGTGGCCGTGGCCCAGACTCCACGGTACCCGTGCGGTACAAACCAAATGAATGCAAACAGAACAAACGGCATCCCCCGCTCTAGTATTTTTTTTTTTAAGAAAAAACCTCGTCCCCCCACCTTAAAAGTGTTTTTCTTCCTTCCCGTGCCTCTTTACTTTCCTACCCCCTTCGTCTTCTGAACATATAATTCCGCCAAAATGATTATCTACACTGTATGTTTGCCAATATCAATTGGATTTGCCTCTCTGCGTTTGCAGGTGAATTTCAACTGACAACCCCACTAGGACATCGTTTCCGGTGACGAGATCGTCGCCGATACCTTCAAGCTTGTTCCCAACAAGGATTTCGATATCCTTTGGGAGTGTGACTGCCGCAAGTATATGAAGCGTGCCGGCGAAGACTTCCAGCTCGAGGGTGCCAACCCTTCCGCCGAGGAGGGGGGCGACGACGATGAAGGTGGCGAAGGTGAGACCACCATGGTCCACGATATCGAGGACCAGTTCCGTCTGGTCTGGCTCAAGGCTGAGGAGGGCGCGAAGCCCTCTAAGGAGAGCTACAAGACCCACATCAAGTGTATGCTTCGCCCTTTGGTCTTTTGGTCCGCGCAATTTACTTACTGTTGTTCTTTGATACAGCTTACCTTAAGAAGCTCCACAAGAATGCCGCCCCCAAGTTCGCTGCGGCCGGAGGCCCTGAGGAGGTTAAGGCGGCCGAGGAAGCATGGAAGAAGAAGGCCGCCGGCGCTATGAAGATGATCCTTGCCAACTGGGACAACTACGATGTTCTCATGGGCCAGTCCACTGACGGCGAGGCCATGTATGTCCCCATGTCAATTTCCCCTTGCAATCTTAAACTGACTGTTTCTAGGCACGTCCTGATTGACTTCCGCGAGGATGGTGTCACCCCCTACGCCACCGTCTGGGCTGACGGTCTCAAGGAGGTCAAGGTCTAAGCAACTCTTGTCGTTCCAAAGAAGCGATAGTTAAAGCATACGCACCCTACACGAACAAATACGCCTTTCTGGGAGAATTGCGGGTTACAGCTCAGACGCAGCGGCTACTTATTTCCCTTCCCCGGCCCAGTCTGTTCTAATAAACCTCTCGCAATTTTTGAACCCCGAGTTAGTGATCTATTGGGTCCATAAGAGTTACGCTTCATGAAATCATCTGTCATGTCTTATTTTCTGGCTTGTACAATGTAGTCTGTATTTGCTATCGCTGATCCAGTTTTCGACACCACATTTGACTTAAAAAGAATTGAGTATTGGGGCCCCAAAAAGTACTTTGCTTGTCGCAAACGAGTAAAGCGACACCAACCATTATGTGGATGTATAGGTTTTTTTGACTTTTTATCGCTCATATCTAGTGTCTATATCAAGTATATAATGGATACTAAGGGTATCCCGGCCAATCACCCCCATTATTCCCATTCCAGGACGGAAAACCCCCTTCCGGGGAGGAGCCTGGAAGTGGAAGACCACTGGCATATGGATTAGACATGTCGATGGGGCTATTGCCATTAAACGCTGAGGTAGTCCCAACATTGGTGAAATCAAGACCCGAGACAGGATCCAATTCCATCAGATCGTCTGCGACAGGAAGATGTTGCCCGAACACAGCATCCCACTGGTCCCAGTCGAAGTTGAGGTTGGGGTCAACCATCGATGGCGGTGTAGGAACTCCCTTGGATATAACATTAGGAGATCCAGGGTCCACTACGGGCATGTCACCAGGAGCAGTAATATCAGGATTTGAATGCTGAACATGTGGGGCGGGAGCGGTGGATGCAGGAGATCTTATCGGTGGAGATGCACCAAACAAGGAGTCCGCATTGGTTGAGGAGTCGCCAGCGCGGGGAGGTATTAGATTATCGGCGGGAATGGGATGGAATCGGGAATGTGAATGTGGATATGAATTTGCACGCGAGGGTTTATCCTGTGGATGGTATTGATATCGCAGGGGACTTTTTGTAGCATCCGAGCTAACAGAATTCGAGGATGTGTGGGAGCGGGTGAAGTTGTAGAATGTTTTGACGAAATCGCTGGGTTGGTGCTTGTGTGTTGAGGGAGGGTTGGCCGATGCTGAGCCTGGAGACCCGGCCTGAGAGGGATTTGAGCAAGGAGGGTCATAATCCCCATGAGTATCAACTGGCGAAGCAACGCCAGCCTGGATCTGATCTTGTTCGGTCCAGAGCATTCGCGGATTGAGGCCAGCCTTTTGCCAAGCCTTATGGCGAAGGCGGCGGATCATATCCCAGGCTTCACGGCCACCGTCTTTTAATCGCCGTGGTGTTGAGACGCCGCCTTCACCTCCTACGACGCCTCCATCTGGACCAGAAAGCGCGAGTATGCGGTCGATGAATGCGCGGGACCTGGATGCTTCAGGGCTGTAAGGTCGCTCATATAGGTCAATAAGCATGATCCTGTATTTCGTTAGCGTGGCTACCGACACCTGATAATGGAGTCGTACATAGTGGCATGCATTGGTTGATGATTGCTAAAGAGAAGTATCAGTTGCCTATAATTCTTGGCTGCTATAGTAGGGGAAAAATCATACCCAGGCCAGCTCCAATGAAAGGGCTGGAAATCAGGATCCGTTGCGAGTTGGATGAATTTTTCCATGAAGCCATGACAGTGGCGTAGTGCACTATTCAATATTAGCACATAGACTTATTGCCCGATGGTGTGAGCAAACCTCTGGCGTGCCGCTGGCCAAATCCGGCTGCGAGCGTTCTTCAGAAAAGGCTGGTAGGCCACGCAGAAGGCCTAGAGGAAGGTCAGTTGGGTACAAACCCGCACAGACTGGGAAACGCACTTTGTCAATGTACAACGAAAGAATGATCTTCGCCCATTTATGGAAGCAAACAAGAACCGGTGAGTGATACTGTTCTGGGCATCCGGTGGGACCTTCGCCTGGAAGCTCTGTGTCGGAAGAGCGGCCATCCGGGGATCTGGTTATAGAAGAAGCTCGGTCTGGCGTGGACAGGTTATCAACATCCTTCCCTTCTGGAATCCTGTCGATGATGGAATTCAGTTTCAGCTGCAAGTCAAGGAGTATTGACCGGAGCTCCTCCATGTCCTGTCTAGTGAGGGGCTTTGTTCCAAGCTGGATTTTCAATATGCGGCGGACAGCGCCTGGTAAAAATTAGTGGGTGGGTTTTTATAACGGAAAGGTGCACTCACGAGCCATGGTATATTTCCCTCTTGCGGTCAGGTAGTAGACGTTGACCATTGATGGCCCGCCGCAAATGGTGGGATCGTCTGGATTATCAGGCAGCCGCTCCCGTGAAGCAACATGTTTCATGTAGGACTCCGCAGCAGGGGTACCTAGGATCGTGTCTTTCAGTTCACTCGTCTCGCACACATCCCAATAGTTTTCGTCGTTGACAAGTGGAGGCAGGCCGCTTGACATGGCAACGACACCGTCCATGTGCATAATGTGCCACCATATCCGGCGACGGTACTCAGCTTCACATGGCTCTATGCCAAACTTAGCTGGGTCCCGATGCAAGCCCATGGTCTGCGCAACCCTCATCGCGAGACTAACAAAAAGACTACTCGCCAAAGGCTCTTCCTCCTTGGTCACAATTGTCTGTACGATAAGATAAGCAGCGAGGCCTTGAAGTGAAGGGCTGCGCGGGAATTTGACCCTCGTAAGCCACCTGTTAGCTTCCTCGGTATATATTGTGGAAAGGGCTGTCCGCGAGGACATATTGAATTCGGCTTCGATTGTTCGCATCGAGATGGTCACTGAGCCGCCATACCATATCGCGTACAACAGTGGAATGAATGATGGATTTGGGCACGACTCTCCCGAATAGCTGCTGCAGTCATACCAATCCCAGAAGGAATTGTAGAGCTTGAGGATAGTTGGAGGGTGAATGACAGGGCTGATAGCGTGTACACCGGAAATGAATCCTTTGTAAAGAATATGGCTTTGCCGCCTCGTTGGAACGTGATCAAGCATTTCTGGCTCCACCAGCTTTTCATTGACCAAGGGAGAGTCACCCGAAGGGAAAATTATAGATTGTTGGAAGGAACGAGACCTAGGCGTGATTGAAGGTGTCGAGCTGCCTATTGATTCTCTCCATGACTGTCGACCATCGGCATGCGAATCCGCTATGTCTTCATTTTTATTTTCAGGGGCAGACTGATCATGTGAGCTATTTTGATCTCTCAGCAATTGATTAAGCTCATTGATCTAGACGCTAGTTAGTGAAAACTGCTTACTAGTGGGGATGTCTAGTGAACAGCATACTTCGCCAGAGATATAAGCCCAATACGTGGTGCCAACATATCTAATTAGAGTTAGAAAAGAGATTTGTATTTCAAATGGAGCAATTTTGACCAACCTTGACCTTCCACCGTCCTCTAGGCTCAAATGGCCTAAGTTCAAACTGCCAACCGGGTCTACCAGATCAGTGGCCTGACCGGATGGGATCGGAAATTCATCACTGTCTGGAGCAATGCGACGTGGGCTGGTAGATCTTGACGGAGTTTTATTTCCGCTCAGACCATTGCTGGGCCGTGGGTCATCCAGCTCTGTGGCTTCCACTTTCGCATCCGGGGCCGTTGCCTGCATGTTCACGTTTGCGAGTGTCTGGCCGGTCCTCCCAATGCGCTCAACCATTGACATAAGCTTGTCGAGTCGCGATTCGATGGCGCTTGGGTCAGGCTTTTCGCCAGTCGACTCTGCCCGCTTCAAGTGTCCGTAAAGTGACTGGAGCTCCTTGACATCCTCCTCCAATGTCCGGGGCATCTCTCTCCTTCGCTTAACGCCATGCACATTTTGGGAAGAACCGTCGCGCCCATCGTCATCTTTTTGGGGTGACACGTCATATATACACTCGGTGTTGTTCTTCACGCAGTTTCCACATATTGGATGTATCTGAAAGGGAGATATATGTTAGCTTAGAACAGGGCATCGGTGTTGGCAGCAATCAGATCGATCTACCTTATCGCATTTGACCTTCCGACGCCGACACATGTGACAGCTGTAGCTCGCGCGGTTTCGGGTGATCTGGCGACCTCCAGCCAAAGATCCCCTCAATGATGGAGCAAACGAGCTGCCGGGGTTGGGAAGACCCGGTACGGGTTGAGCATGGGGAGGGCTCTGGTTCATGTTCCCTGGCAAGACATGAAATAGATCAAGTGTTAGCATGGAAACAATACGCGCAAAAATACGGAGTAAAACGGCGGCTTCGGCGATTGCAGGATTGCGGGGGTTCCTTGACGTTATCGGAGATCGAAGGGGCCAGCCAATGATATCACTCTATTTCGAGGTCAGCACTTAGTTATGCCTGAACTTTGCCTGAACTTTGCCTGAATTTGAGGGCATCCAATTTGCTTGTGGGATATCCGATTTAATCCATGGAATATATATATGTTAAGGAATATGATTTAAACTACTACATATGTAGTACGTTTAGTGTAATTTACATATCTCAATGGTATGCGAACCTTGTGGAACTAAAGCAAAACCGACAACATTTGATGTCTGACGGGTGCAGGGCCACATGCCAATGCAGGCGGTGCTTGGAAATACCATAGCAAGTCCATATATGTATCAATTGATAGAGAAGATATTCTCCCTTCAAGTTCTTTGACTTTGAAGCACACTTCTAAGTCACGGCGATCAGCCCAATTTACCTCTGATATTTCTGGTCTGCATAGCCCCGATTTATTTGGGTCTGTTTGTTCCGTTTCTCGTAGTTTCGCCTGAAACCCGACGGCATACTGCATTGCTTGGCTCTCTGCTTCTCACCGCACGCTAATGCATGAAGTGGCTTGTATGGGGTCTCTCGTGCCCAATCAATCCCAAACCGGGATGCCAGACAGCTGTACTAAAAAGCATTGCGTGGCCCAGAATTTGGGGTTTCTCAGTAGAAGAAATAGCAAGTCTAGCATTTTAAAACCTAGCAATTTCTCACATATCGCCTCCCGTATTACATCACAAATCGAACGATACCCACGATGAGCTTTGGATTCAGCTTGGGAGACTTGATTTCCATTATTACTTTGGCTAATAAGCTCCGAAAAGACTTTGTTGGTGCTCCAAGCCAGTTCAACAGTATCACTAGAGAGTGCGTGCATACTATACACGTAGTTCATTGGCCAGGAACTGATCCCTTTTTCGTCAGCATAGGGTCAGAGGACTGGCAATTATCCTCCAAGATCTCGATATTCAACTACTGGGTTACGATATCAATGATAAGCAACAAAAGCAACTAGCTGAAATCAGTCACAGCTGTGGGATCCTACTGAATGAGCTTCAAGATGCCATGGAGAAATACAAAGTCGTTGATTATTCTGGTACATCAATTCACAAAAAGGCTAGAAGTATCTGGAAGAGGATTTCCTGGGAGCCGGAAGACATAAGCGAGCTCCGAGGTCGGCTGATGTCTAATGTGATGTTGCTCCAGTCATTCATGAGTGCTATATCAAGGTATCGTATACTCCCCCCCCCTCTCTCTACCCCCCTTCTGCCCCCTTTCTACCCCACCTGGTACTTTGGCACCCGTGGACACCTGAGCATGACTAACATCTAACATTCATAGGCAAACTATGGTGGCGACAAAACAAACACTGGAACATCTCAACCAACGACAGCAAAGCGATGAACGGTCTTGCATTCTTGACTGGCTGTCTGCCGCTGATTACACTTCGCAACAGAGCGATCTTCTCTCTCGACGGCAAGAAGGAACTGGACAATGGCTTCTCAATTCGGAAGAATATGAACATTGGCTTCGCACACCCCGAGCGACCTTGTTTTGTCCGGGCATTCCAGGTGCAGGAAAGACCATCTGTTCTGCCATCCTTGTCGACGATTTGATTACGCGCTTTCAGGATAATCCAAATGTTGGCATAGCCTACATTTATTGCAATTTTAATCGCCAAGATGAGCAAAAGGTTCAAGACTTGCTTTCAAGCTTGTTAAAGCAACTAAGCCAGAAGAGAAAATCTGTCCCAGATGCAGTCAAGGACCTCTACACGCGCTACAAAGCTACATCGACGCGTCCACAATTTGACAAAGTATCAAGAGCTCTGCAAACAGTCGCTTCCATTTATTCGGACGTGTTTATTGTCGTCGATGCCCTCGATGAGTGCGAATCCACTTGCCGTACCAGACTTTTGCGCGAGATGAGGAGAATTCGTGCCGGTGCTGGAGCAAATGTCTTCGCCACGTCAAGGCCCACGGAGATAAACGATTTGTTTAAAGGGGGCGGAATCTTGGAGATACGGGCTCATGAGGACGATGTTCGACGATACATTGGTGGCAATATGTATCGACTCCCGGGATTTGTGGGTCGAAATACTACATTGCAAGAGGAGATTACGACTGTAATCCCGCGCCATGTACAGGGAATGTGAGTCTTCTTATAGTATTAATCCCTCGCGAACGACTTGGATTGCTTATCTACCCAGGTTCCTTCTTGCACAGCTTTATTTCGAGTCATTGATCGGCAGGAGGTCAGCCAAATCTACTCGAACGGTTCTGAAAGAGTTCTCAGATGGGGCTAATGAATATGCATACGACAAGGCTTACGACAACGCCATGAGCCGAATTCAAGGGCAACTGAGAGAGCAAACTGAATTGGCGATACAAACTCTCTCTTGGCTCACATGCGCAAGAAGACCGCTCACTTCATTGGAGCTCCAGCATGCACTTGCAATAGAGAAAGGGGAATCTAGCCTTGACGAAGAGAATATGCCGGAGATTGAAGACATCCTTGCTGTGTGTGCTGGTCTAGTTACCGTCGAAGATGAAAGTGGGATAATTCGGCTGGTTCATTATACAACGCAAGAATACCTCGAGCGGAAGAAAGATGTACTGCTTCCCAGCGCCGAAAATGAAATCAGCATGTTGTGTGTCACATACATTTCATTTGACATATTTGGATCTGGGATTTGTGAAAGCGATGAAGCGTTCGAGGAGCGTTTAGAATCACATCCATTCTACCCTTATGTGGTACGCCATTGGGGCGATCATGTGGGTGTAACTAGAATTCTGCATCCTGATGTGATAAACTTCTTGAAAGATCAGGCAAGGATTGATGCCTCAGAACAAACACGCCTTGTTGTAAAGCACTCAATCCCAAACAACTGGAGCCAGAACTTCCCAAGGGAAATGACGGGTCTGCATCTCGCTGCATTATATGGAATTGAAGAAGCAGTGTCTTACTTTCTTCAACATCAGCACCCTGTGGACATGCGCTATAATGGTGGCCGGACGCCGTTGCAATGCGCCATTTCAAGAGGCCATTTGAACCTCATTCAATTACTTCTCGCCCATGGAGCAGATCCCAAGGGGAATGGCGATTTAAACAACGACCCGTTGTCATCTGCTGCGGCTCTCGGGCATGAAGATATTGTCAGACTTTTTCTCGAGCGGGGGGTTGATGTTAATACCCCGCCTGGATCGGATAGAAGCGCCCTAATTGCAGCATGCGGCAAAGGCCGAATACACACTGCGGAGATTCTCCTCAACAGCGGCGCAAACATCGATGCTGAGAGTCAGCTCTTCGGGAACCCCTTAGAAGCCGCTGCTGTAGCTGGTCACTGGGAACTAGTAACTCTCTTGCTTGAGAAGGGCGCCGATCCCAATTCCCAAGAAAGCGAGATCGAACCCGCATTGCAAGCAGCCTCGGCGAGCGGCAGGGAAGATATGGTGCAAATTTTGCTCAATCATCACGCGGATATCAACCGACAAGGCGGGGCATATGGAACCGCCCTCATAGCGGCCTGTATCAACGGGCATGAGCAAATAACAAGGATACTTCTCGATAACGGCGCTAATCCAAATTCGGAAAACGGAGCTTTCAACAGCGCACTGAGAGCGGCCTCGATGAATGGGAATCAGCAAATAGTGCAAATGCTGCTCGACAGCGGTGCTAACATAAATGCGGAACATGAGCGTGGCACAGCCCTGATGGCTGCTGTTGCAAAAGGACAATGTCACATTGCAAAGATGCTGCTCGAGAACGGCGCCGACCCTAATGCTCGTGGCAGACCACATGGCACTGCTTTGCATGCAGCCGCTGCGTTCGGATTTGTTGAAATAGCGCAGATTCTACTCGACAGAGGTGCCGACAGCACCATTCGTGCCGGTGTTTACAAAACGCCCCTGCGAGCAGCGATGATGAGAGGTCATCGGGAGGTTGCCGCGCTTCTCAAAAGACAGGGCAGCACTTAAGCGGCTGAGTACTAGACTTGTTACCAAACAAGACCTTCTACGGTTGTGAAAAGGATTCACTATGACATCAGTTTATGAGCAAGACCTCCATTAGAAACTAACCATTATACTTCTCTTGAGGCTACATGCTACCAGGGAGATGGAGGAGGAAGAAACTCTTGGTATTCAAACTAGCAAAGCAGGGCCTTTTTATAGAGGCCCACATTCACAAGCAACAAACAAAGCGCGCAGTCTGACAGCGCAATAAGGCAGCCATGTAGGATGGGATGATCTCAACAACTTCTCTATTTAGGCCCTTTTCCACTAGAGTGTCAACATAGTACTCCTGCGCCCCAATGTTACTACTATGTATCTCAACCCACCACCAACGTGTCTCCTATGTGGAATGGAAATCTCATCCACCTTTAATTATGGGATTTCAGATGCAACACATCATCATCAAGGAGTCCAATACCAAGTATTGTCTGACGGGCAATAACATAGTCTAGCATGATGCGTCTGAGCCCCACTATATCCGAAATGATCTGGCAATAGCAAGGATCGGTGGAAGGAAAGGTCCAAGAGAGGGAACAGTCGGAGGAGAATTAATACGACAATCATCATTGCTTTTTTTGTCAGCCCAGAAATTCATTCCCCTTCCTATTCCCCTTCCTATTACCGCTGTTCCTAGATCTACTGCAGTATCAATTCCACCAGATCTTCTTTCCGTGATAATCCTTGACATTGTCATTATCCGGTGATACCCCCGGGTATCGGATCCTCCCGAGGTCCCGAGGTTTATCCACGGAAGGTCGTCGGAGTTATCTCCGTACTACGGATAGTTACATGTACATATCCCTGTATAGTCTAAATAAAGTATTAATTTCAATTCCGATGAATAACCTAGGAATTCTCCGGAAGAATGGAATTGTTTCCCTGCAGTAGTGCAGTAGTGCAGTAGGGCTTGCAGGTGGCAGCTGACTGATTCTTCACGCTATACCTATTGTAGTTCACTCTACCCCACACACTTCCCGAGGTCATCCCTTTAATCTCTCCATGTCACTTTCCACGTGGCAATATATTGAAACACAACTGCCATGGATAAGGAGGAGCATATTGCAGTGGTGAGTAGTACTCATTTATGATCCGAGAGTGTGATTCTCACCTGCCCAGGATCCCACTTTCTACTCTATGGTTCATGGCGTGGAACCGGATGACTTCCAATCGTAAGCATAAGCACCGAAATCATATCCATCGCATTCTCATCTCGTTTCATCCTCAGTGAGACTACCCTCTCTCGCCTCGACCATCGCAAAGGGACGGTTGGAAAATGGCCGAAGGTCAGTACATTTCCAGTCGAGGCTTGCTTCAATGATAATAACGTGCAGCAAAGATATCAAGCGATAAAGGAAGATGACTATTGGTTGGTCACGACGATTTGATATTTATGATGCATGATTTGACCATGTCCATGGATGCAGGGGTCCTTCCGACGAACAGCAGTTCGAGGCATTTGAGATTAGGTAAACTGCATCACCCTCCCGGGCTCCAGGACTCCCCCGGTGCCCTCGCTAGAATGGCGTGGTACTAACATATCAAAGTCACATATTGTTCATCGTGCTGGACTACCACCAACCGAATCCTCTCTTCCGCGCTCCTATTGGCGATTCGCCCAAGGTAAATTGATAATGATGCCATCTTCTCTGCTTGACCCTCTGCTCACCATGCCCTATAGCATATTCTGGACATCGGAACTGGCAAAGGAAGCTGGGCCATGTAAGTCAACAAGTATCCCGGCCTCATTTTAAGAAACTCTCTAACCAATGCCTAGTGACGTTGCCGATCACTTCCCGTCAGGTAATCGAATTCTTTATACAACTCCTTACTCTATCTTTTTTGGATTGACACGAAATAGCGACCGTCCGTGGTGTGGACATATTCCCCCTCCTGTGACCTGGATGCCCCCGAATTGTCTATTCGAGGTGGACGATGTGCTTCGTGAATGGACATGGAGAGAGCCGTTTGACTATATCCACATGCGCATGATGTATGGAGCATTCGATTCGGAAGGATGGAGCCAGGTATATAAGCAGGCCTACAAGTGAGTCTAATTCCCACTTCACTACCCCACCTGCTTATACCCGGAATCCTAATCCCCTTTTCTTTAACTCTAGTGCCCTTGAACCAGGCGGTTGGATCGAGCAAGTGGAAATGGACATTCGAGTTTATAGCGACGATGGCACCTTGAAAAAGGATAGCGTTCTAGCGGGGTGGGGTGATCTATTTCTTAGATGCTCTGAGCGAGCCGGTCGGTCACTCAGAACCCAGGAAACGATGCGCGGCCAAATGGAGAAAGTCGGATTCGTGGATGCGCACGAAGAGCTGTACAAGATCCCTCTAGGCCCCTGGGCTAAGGATAAACAACTAAAGGAGGCCGGCCAGCTCCAATATGCTCACTGGAGTACTGCTCTAGAGGGCTGGGCAATGTGGCTTCTCACTAAGTTTGGGGAACCGGAGCCGTGGACAAAGGAGGAGGTGCAGGTCTATCTGGCTCGCGTGCGTGCGGAGCTAAAGGATCCGCATGTACATCGCTATGGATATGGGTGAGTGTTTTCCTTTTACACCCCTCGAAATGCTGCTAATGAAGTTCAGTCGTCGTGTGTGGGCGAGGAAGCCTACTGAGGAGGAATTGAGAAGACAGGAGATCAAGCGCGAGCCATCGCCATAAATCCGTCTTCTGAAGGCCAGAGGCAATAGCCGATTCGTTGTGTCGCTCGTTTCTCCAGTACAGCAGCCTACTCACATATGTGAACCTCTTTGAGCATTGAACATTACATTCTTTTTACATTCTTGCCTTTCTGGATCGGATCATGGCATTACCATCTGCGATATGGAAGAAATCGATTCCTGTACTTTGTTCTCATTTTGGAGATATGAAATTGTGTTGATCTCATCTGCTGGCCTCCCTGATCCTTCAAACCCAAGTCACGCTCTTGTGATGAAAATTCAGGGGCTTGGAACGTGGCCGTCGAGCACAACATACGGAAGATGAAGCCCGTTGTGTTTCAAGTGGTGCTCGGAGCCAGATGTTGACCTGCTCCAATTCGATGTCGAGGTAAGACTGGAAAAATAAAGGCAATTTATCAGACTCAGAAAAGGCGCGAATCACTTGCAGCTTTCTGTTATATTCAAAGTGCATTAGACTTCATTTGACTCAAATTGGGCGACAATGGAGCTCCATCAATAATTCTATCCTCAGGTCCAACTGGCAAAGGGAAGCTTTATTCAATATCCCTTGATGTTAAGGAGGCACGTACGACATGACGCCAATGTTCTCGCTGGGTCTAGGCACCATGTCACCATTGGCCAACATGCATATTGATAATGGCAATAGGGCTGACGCAGCTATTCTGACCTTTGTTTTTTGTTTCTCCTGTTATGTGGGCTGTATATATGATAGTTTCTTGACCAAGCTCTTTTCTCCTTGCTACGATACTATTCACCAAAACATTGACTTGTAGTTATCCATATATCATATTCAACTACAACTCAACTACAATATACACCGACCGAAGACCTTTCACGAAGGCGGAACAAGCTGCTCCTCCTTTGGCCAAGTAGCAATAGTGGTCGCGTCACCGGTCAAAGTGAATGACAGCACGGCCGAACGCTCATTGTTCAGCGCAAGTTCATACTTGCCGGGATACACAACGCGATTACCATCCTCATCGGTGCGAGCCACGTTGTCCAGTGAGATCGGAATTGTCATGGTCTGAGTGGCGTGGGGTTCAATTCCACCCAGGCGATCAAAGCCAACTAGCCACTTGTTGGGATGCGGGCTCGGTCCAGCTTTTGTGTTGACGAACGCCATAGCGGTATAGTCGGAGGTGACTGTACCAGCGTTTTCAACTTCGATACTGTAGTTCATGAAGGGGACTTGTTCGATCACGTTGTATCCGGCGTTTGAGCGTGAGAGAAGCTTCACAATGTCGAAGGAAGCTCTATTGTTAGCTCCGTGGGAGTTGGCGAGTGATGTCTTGAAGGTTGTGTAGAACAGCCCGTGGCCAAATTCGTAAACTGGCTTGCCTGTATACCACATATAGGTTTGCCCAGGGTTGCTGCCCTTAGGGCGCAAACTCATGTCGGTAGCAGGGAATTGAAGAGCATACTCAGCAGGGTATTGAGTGACTGTCAGACGACCAGCGGGTGCACGCTTTCCAGTGAGAATGTCCAAAATTGCAGGACCCCCAGATTGGCCCGGGTAGCCACCCCAAACCAGAGAGTTGACGTTTTTGTTGGCCTTAAGGGACGAAGAGTCCACTTGACCACCGCCCAACTGGAGAACAACTAACGGCTTACCCAGCTCACTCAACTGCTCGATCAGTTGGAGCTGGTTACCAGGCCAGGTGATGGTTTCGCGATCCACTCCCTCTGCCTCGACGGTGTTGTCAATTCCACCAGCGAAGATGACCACATCAGACTTCCTCGCAGCCGACAGAGCAGCTTCAAACCCGGAAGTGGATTCTGAGGAGATATTGGTGCCAAAAGCATAGTTGACCTCAAGGTCCGAGGCTTGTAGGGCGGCGAGCGGGCCGGTGAGATAGGGCGCTGCGCCATAGTAATTTCCCTGCATTGTAGTTGTTACATTTGCCCATGGTCCAATCAATGCAACACTGCGGGTGCCCTTGGACAACGGTAAGGTGCCATCGTTCTTGAGAAGGACAATTCCTTCCACGGCAGCCTCGTATGAAATGTTCCATGCATCAGTGGCAACAACGTCAGACCAATCCAGATCTCGGTATTTGCTGTTGTTGCCATCAAAGTAGCCCAAACTGACGAGATTGGAATAGAAACGAGTGGCAGCACGTTCAATCTCACTGCGCGAGATCTCGCCCTGGGTGAACGACTGGTTCAGATAGAGTTGATAAGTCGCACCACAGTCAATATCTGTGCCTGCCTGTATACTTTTTGCCGCAGCAAGCGAGGCACTGGAGGCATATCCGTGGGGGTTGAAGACATTGTACACAGCGTCGCAGTCGGAAGAGACATAGCCATCCTCGACAAAGTTCCAGGTGTCGCGAAGTAGAGTCTGGAGCAAGAAAGAATTGGCCGATGCGGGAACACCATTGACTGCGTTATACGATGACATCACGCTGTGAACTCTTGCATCTCTCACGGCTGTTACAAACTGAGGGGTGTAATAGCTAGCGAAGTCGAATGCGCTGATGCTCATATCATTTCCCAGTCTTGAATGGTTGCCCCAATTCTCGATGTCATAACCAGCGAAATGCTTTGCCGTGGCAGCCAATTTCAGGTTCTTGGGGTCCAAGCCACCCTGAAGACCCGTTATGTACTCAAGTCCGTAAACCGAGCAGAGCTGAATATCCTCGCCTGGAGTTTCCTGTCCACGGCCCCAGACTGGGTGACGGAAGGAATTGATATTGGGTGCATACACATCGAGCCCATATCGACCCCCATTGTTAAATGCTCTGCCTTGAGTTGACACGATTCCACCGATTTGGTTGATCAGGGTTCGGTTCAGGGCAGCCATGGTGAGGATGGGGGATGGGAACGAGGTAGCCCAGCTGTAGTCCCCAAATTCGGTGAGGTTTGCTCGATCTAAGCCATGAAGAGCTTCGTTCCAAACCTGGTAAGGTGGGAGACCCAGCCGAGGAATTGCAGGCATGACGTTTCCAGTACTGTTCACGAGCTCTTCAAAGGTGAACATGGCAATGAGGGCAGCGGCCCTGTCGTGGGGCTTTGCGGTAGTGTCACAGACAATTGTCTTGCTGAGTGGGCCATTGGAGCAGTCTGGAAAAGAAAAATCGACTTTTGCCATAGTCCCGGGGTAAAGGTCCGGTTGTGCATTGGTATTGTAGTCCGCATAACTGGTGTTGGCCTGGGATAACGCAGTTGGCGCGAAGGCCAACAAAGCAAGTAGTGGAAAGACAGGCATCGTAAAAGACTGTCTTCGAGAACGGATAGTCCAGCATTCTTGCCAGTGATGCGGGAATCAACTTATAGTCTGGAGTATGGAGAGGTCCCCCCCACACATTTGGACCGAGTTGGGGAAGTTGCACAGTCGATCCCAGGGGATCCCACGGAGGTTCGGGTTTCCCCCGAGATTGGGCGTTGGAAGTTGAACAATTTAGCCTGAAATTTTTCCTTATTTGCCGATGCTTGTTAATCATGTCCTCTTTGTCCTCCGTTGTCAAAGGGTGCAAGGGGGTCAAAGTGGGAAGAGGTGCACGGGAAGAGGTGCATGGAGTCCTTACTTCTATACCAGGGGAGAGATCCTGTTCTACTACTATTTCCTCGAACTACATTTGGATATTAGAATAGCTTTGAACCTTTTGAATTAATACTCTCTTACTCTCTTCACAGAAAATACTAAAGAGGTCTGAGAGCTGAGGTCACAATTAACCTCCAGAACAAGCTATTCAAGCTATCCAAGCTATCCAAGCTATCCAAGCCATAAGCCATCCGAAGGAATGGTATTTATGCGAGTTTAGCCTGAAATTACCCCTCTCATATGGAATGATGAATGCATCTCTGACATATTGCAGTTCTCATAGCCCAGACCCCGCAGGACCCCGGGTAATGGGGAAAATTGTATCTGCCGGGAAGATGTGGTTAATTAGAGAAGGGGTTGTTAGGAACCTAGTACAGTCTGGTTGAATAGCAGATAAACAGAATGCAACAGTTTTAATAAGATACCGGTTATTGGCTACTAAATAAGTCCCTTCACAAAGCCCTTGTTGGCCCTTTTCTACTGTCTAACTGAGAAGGGGGAGAAACATCTATATAATCAGATATCTAAACCTTGGAAAAGACTAAGAGACTACCGGAAAGACCACTTAAGAAGACTACAAATATTCTTGTACATCGTAACAGGGAAGTGCGTAAACCATGAGCCTTCAAGACTTGTGACTCGTCAACAGATTATGATACAAGAGTATATTGACCGCTATGCATGCAGACCGACACGTAACCACTCATAAAATACAATAAAACGCAAAACACATATTAGACTAGACTAACCACGCTTGACCTCTTGTTCAAGCTTGTCCAAAGCCTTGGCGAATTTGGGCTTGAGTGAGTCTAATGCGTCGGCCTTGATCTGGACACGATCAATGTTTGACGTACGCGTGATCCGGCCATCCACGCTGGCTGCGATCTCGTTGGCAAACCAGCGGCCCTCACGGTGAGCAACCAGGGACCACGCAGAGCCTGCGCGGCCTGCGCGGGCGGTACGTCCAACTCGGTGGACGTAAGTAGTGATGCTGGTCGGGATATCGTAGTTGATGACATGAGTCAAAGATTCCAGATCAAGACCACGAGAGGCACGATCAGTAGCCACAATCACGGAAATGCGGCCTTGTCGATACGCCGTCAATGTCTTGCGAGATGCAGAGGATTTGTTGGATTTGATGATAGTTCCCACGCGCTTGGCCAATGCGGGATGTAGAAGCGAAGTGAGACGTGCAAGTCGGGAGGCAGACTCGGATGACTTGGTGAAAATCAGAACAGTCTTGCGCGAGGGCGAGGGAACAAGCTCCATAGCATCGGATTCCGAGTCAAATGAGTCAGAAGAATCAGAGGCTGAATCCGAGTCCGAGTCTGAATCTGACTCCGAGTCTGACCCAGAAGATGAAGTATCGTCATCAGATGATTCATCAGAGCTCGTCTCATCGTCAGAGCTGGTGTCATCATCGCTGCTAGTGTCAT